TCCTACACTTGATGATCGGTCTTTGATGGAAACGAACACCGAAAAACACCTTGTTCCCGATCAGATGGAGAGGAAGCTTGTCAGTGCTGATGAAATTGTCAGAAAAATCGAGGTATTTCATTTCTTTTCAATGCTTCAATGATGTTTGTCAGTCTTCCCTTCCATGTTTCAGCAGATTCTGTCCAACTCATCTTCGAATCCTTCGCCTCATAAGGCCGACGATGAAGTGGACCAGAGTAGTCAAACTACGGAGTACAAAAGGATACCTTACATTGTGAAGTTCACCCTTCTAATGATGCGACGGGTACTACATTTATTAATCCTCCTCACTATTTGACTATTTTTTTAGCGAGATGTCAGGTGAGTTCATGTCGCTGAGAAAGGCGTCAATATTTTCCTCATCCGCGCTTCTCGCCTGATAACGCTTCCTGACTGCTATGTCCTCGCGCGCTCCATGCTACCCACACGAAAGTGGCTAACTCACCACCTCGTCCTTATTTTGCAATATTTCTCTGTCTGAGTGACTCGCTTTTGGGGGCATTTTTCGAAACAGAGGGTGTCCATTCCGTTTCCAGGAAAACCTATGCTATTTCTTTTCGGACGTTTGTTAGTATGGATGTCATCAAAATTCATATTGCCCTGTCCAGGGGAATGGGGTAGATAAATTGAATGTTCTGGAAGGGAAATATGCCCAGTATAAAAGGAGTCTAGGGGTTCAAGGGACCAAGAGGTGGCGCTTTCGTGAGAAAGGACGTGTCAGCAGCAACCTAACAAAGCCTTAATCCTTTTGAATGCTTCCGTCGCTCTGCCAGCGTCCGATCGGATGCCTGAACGCTGATTCTCACCTTCAGCCTGTCCAGCAGAGAACCAGACCAGTAATGATGCAGTGTTCTTTATGTTGATGACGTCAGCAATCAGTGGTTGTTCCGGCGCAGAAAACAGGTTAAAAAGGTCATACCTTGTGCGAGTTTAGATCGTGTTATCTGGTTTCCCTTCACCATTGCACATTCATCCATCTGTGCTTTCGTTTCCGGGTGCAGTTGGTGTAATGGTAAGCGGCGCTGCTTATTACGCGCACGGTGCGGGCTGCTCACTGTCGAATCAGGTACGCCGCCCGGTCAACCCAACGTTCCATCTCTCCGGGGTCGGATAATTGGTACCACACGACTCATAACCCGAGAAATGGGAGCCGTACACCCGCTGCTTTCCGAAATGAAAGAGTTTCTAGCCAGGGTTGGGGTTAGCTGCGGCGATGAGCGGACTTGCTCTGATGCATTTTTTTATTCACTGCCGTTATTCTAACATCCTCTATTGATGTAACTTATTGAAGGTGCTTCTCGCTGTGAAAGTCGGATGGAACACGTTATGATGAATCGTTCTGGCAGAGAGATATGGCGATATTCGATAGGTATGATGCATAATATTTGTTCCGGGGAGATAAATATAATCATGTTTTACAATAATAAGGGAGTTTAACAATGTGTTTGAATATTACAGATTTCTCGATCTTTCTCGCAATGCCCGTGAACTTTTCATGAGATTACATCTGAGGAAGTCATGGTGGTTGACCGTGGATAAATTGAAAGAAAGGTATTTTCTCAACAGAAACTAACATTGGTAGCTTATCATCATTTTGTCAGATAGAAGATTATGCTTTCTTCCACCTAACTGTGTACGATGGCGACGTAAAACGCTCTGTTTTCCTGTGTCGAGAACTGGCTATTAATTACTGCGTGAAATGGGACACATATGGCATCCGATGATATCAAAAATACTAAAGACCCACATAATATCGATTTTTTCGAGGCAATGATAATGAGTCTGGAATATGACAGGCCGGTCGCGTGAAACAGCGCTTTGCTGCTATTTAGATACGTGCATGGTGGATCATATCTACGGTGCAAATTAAAGGCAGAAAGTTTACGATGAAAAGTTAGCATCATTGGAATCAGTGGCAGAGGTGGTCAAATGAGCGGGTGAAGAAGAACATGGAACGCCGGACCTGAGAAATGGACGCCCTTTTCTTTGCGCGTTTGATTCCCGAATGATACGATCTTATCGCTATACTCTCTTCAAACACTACGCTTGCTATATCCGACGGCTGGTGTCTGAATCACTCGCTACGTATAGACTTGCGGCGACGTGATTAGTAGCGGCGTGGGCCGTACCGCCAACCGCGCCAAGAGTGAGCCATGATCGCTGAGGTCAAACCTTTCGCTGCCAATTGCGCCTCGGTCAGCACCCTCAAGAGGTCCGCCTGTTCCCAACTATGGCAATTTTCTCCTTCTTTGACCTTCGTTCTTATTTGTGAATTCCTCCTTTCATTGAGGCCCTCTTTCATTTAGAGAAATATCAACCATAGCTACGTTATTTATTTATTTATTTTCTTATTTATTTATACGGCTCAATGAGTGCCGGCCATAGAGAGAAATAGGCGTAGGCTCAGCATCTCTTACTGAGCGTCTACATTTTCTTTTGAAGTGGTCGCTATGGACAGAGATGGTAAGTGGCAGAGTAGCGCTAACACCCCTTTCCCCAAAGGTGACGCTCAAGCCCAGATCCGAATCTTCTCTAGTGAGAAGATCAAACCTGCAGCACTTTTCGTCGTCGGTAAAGTCGTGTTAGGTATTTTCTGGGTACAAACACTGACTTCTACACTAGGCGACCCCACAAACTAACTGAATAGGCTATTCAGATGCGTGGTGCATTTTAAAGTGTAATGAGGAAGGCTGAATTCTTTATCTTCGTCTTTTACTGTATTTCGCTTATTTATAATATTATTTGTCCCCCCTCGGTTTTGATAAGCGTGGCGCTCTCCTATCTAAGATGCGTGTTCAAAGAACTGCTCCTTTCAACGCCGGGCAGTCACAATTATGGGCTACACAAAAGGGAGTTAATTTATGACAATTCAGATATGCTGAGTTATCCAGCGACATGGAATCCGCCCTGGTGCAGCTGGTTGATAATGGCTTTGTTGACAGTAGGCATTAAGTACCTTCATAATGAAGCTGTCAGCACATGAACTTCTTATGTTGTAGGCGACAGGAGTCTGGTGAGCCTCGAAGAAGCGCTGAAGGTGGCTCCATTGCCAGTTTTGAAATCCGTTGCAAAAATCTACCAGCTCGATACGACAAAGGTGATAATTAAGCTGAAGATTTTGTTTTCTTTTACTTTTTGAGTAAAACTGTTTTTTAGGGGAAAATTGAACTGAGTACGACGTTGACGACTTTCTCTGCGAAGCAGAAGGGGCTTTTCGGACAAGTGGGTACTGTAGCAGTTGCGATGCTCAGAGCGTAAGCATATTTTGCAGCCATATGTTTCTTCAGGTAGGGCGGTAGTGGTGTAGTGGCGATTGGCACCGCTTACTACGCGTGCGGTCCATGGATCAAATCCTCGTCTGTGCGTCGTCCGGGCCATATAAGCCTTCCATCCCTCTGGGATCGGTAGTTGTACTGAGCCTTGTCTGGGAGAATAAAATCACTGAGTATCAGAATTCCCAGAGAGGTTGAAAAAGTCACGACGGTAAGGTGAGTGCCACTTAATCTGAATTAATGATATGATAGTTGATCTAGTATTTTCTTTCGCAGTTATGCTGAAGGGTGTGCCCAGGAACGCAAAAGTACAGTATAGCTGGGTAGTCAGACTTCAAGCGTTTCCAGTAACGTCCACTGGCTGGCTTGGACTCACTTTACCACGGTCTTTGAATATTGGTACTCCGACCCGTCGAGAAAACGTCAAAATGTTAGTCGTATGTGGAGAATTCTGGTAAAATTCCACTCTTTACTTAGTCTGGGAGAACGGTGATTTTTTTGCGCTATTGTCTTCTTATTATGCGTTTCAAATAGATTTCCGTAATAACATTTCTGCTCGTAGCATTCAGCTCCTGGAAATCCCTACGTTTGATAGGCAGTGTGGCTCGCGTGTCTCTTCCATCTTCTAGGAGCCTGCATATATAAACGAGTGAAGCGACTGAAACGAACTTCTCATTTCAGGATCAAAAAAGAACTGGGTCCTTGCTATCGTGTGAACCAAAAAGCCAGTGAACTTTTCAAGGTTTGTTTTGCTCAATCAGCTTTGTAGAAGTTAAGGGCAGGTGGCACAATTAATTGGTTATTGATTAATAGGAGTGCGCCGACCATAAATGAAGGCTAATTTTCCAAAAGACCGATACGTGCGCGATCGCGGTGAAGGAGTAGTCCGTACCGACGTGGCAAGGCTTTACCCATTTCTCTCGTCGTCTTCGTCCCTCAGCTTGCCACTCTGCCGCTGGAGTTGCGCCTACGGACTCTAGGCCGCCTCTCAGATCTGCCGAGGCAACTGCTTCACGTGCTTAACGTCAGCAGAAGTGAGTCGCTCAGGCGAATTTCGGGAAAGCAAGGATCTTTTCACGCACTTCATCTCGCGATTTTCCTTAGATTCCTTCCTGCTGGCAACGTCTAAGGACTTCAACTTTTCTGTCCACACATAAAACTAATCTATTGTATCACCTGCTTTTAAGGTCCTTGAACTGCGTAGGTAACTCATTTCATGTGCATTGTTGGAGTTTTTCTCAGAAAGCCATTATTTTCAGGCCCTATTCACGCTGTATGCCCCAACGGAAATGTGTTCCAGCCTTGCAATCGACCAACCAAGTGTAAACATTTCGCAAACTTTATTGTTAGGTTTACATCTCCACGATCTCTTTAGTTTAACTTATTCCTGACCATGGGTGAGCCGTGTTGAAGGAATACGGTCGCGGTGCTCCCTTCCTCCTGTTGAGGTCAGGTCAGCTCAGAAAAAGACACCTCTGATTTGCTCGTAATGAACTTAGGGCTAAGCCTAGCCTAATCATAGGCTTTAGCATAATAAAGAATGGAACAAAGTTGCAACACTACATGTGTGATAAGAGTGGTTCGTTTCGCCTCCAACTCAGACGAACTAATTTATTCCGTCAATCCCAGGAGCTCCTCAGTGAGGCTGGGAATGACAGAATTAGTCCAATTGTTAACGGTATACGAAAAATTAAAAAGAATTCAAAAAGACCAGCACGAACAACACATCTAAAAGAACATACACATCTAAAGGATTAACATTGTTAGATAATAGATTAGAACTTAATTACCTATTAGTATCCCTAAAGCACTCTATGTTATACTGTAGAACTGATACTATCCAAGTGTAGATCACGAATTTAATTTGACTCCGCATCCTGAACACTTAACCTTAAGCTTATTCGCAACAGCTGTTGTCACCTGACTCAGAGATAAGCTGATTTGTCTCGTCCTCTCCCGGAGTATAATCGACGCCTGTTAGGCCTATCCTCTACTACTTTACCTGAAGTTATGACACGGCACCAAAATTTGGGATGGGAGTGTGTCTAAGATAAGCGAAAATGGGTGAAACTCCAGTTCGGGGGGGGGCACTCCATTGCTATCTTATCCGTAGTACTAGAGAGCAGTTCTTTGGGCTATCGAACACTACGGATAAGATAATAAGTGAACGACTCATTTCGAGCGTACTTTTGATAAGGACCGGTGGATGTCCTACATTCCACACTACCTGCCCACATCCCATCCACTTTTCTGCACAGGTGATCCACCCTGGAGCTCCTGCACCCTTAGCCCTTTGCGGAGGTGTCCTTTCTCCTGGTCCAGGACCGTTCCCTTGGGTCATGGCAGGCGGAAATGTGAAAACGTTTCAGGGTTTCTCACCCATTACACCAATATTTATCAGAAGTCTACTTTAAATGAGTCGATTACGTGTCGTGAGCCCTCTAATCCTTATCTTGAGTATTGGAGAAAAAATGGAGTGGCCCCCCCCGAACTGGAGTTTCACCTCGGAAATTCCATAAACTTTGCAAACTTACGCCTAACGCAATGGTTAATCCAGCGACCTCGTTGTCCAGCTATGAGATGTAGAAAGAGTATACGGGGAATACTCCTCCTTCTTTCTCCGTGCAGCTTTGTATATTGACATCTATTCGGTATTTGCGTCAGGACCCAAGTGTGCATGACGTTATTTATAAGGATGCACAAAGGTTACGGAAATTAGTATGACCTGGCATGAATTTGTTCAGCTTTTCTACCCCGTTATTTTTTCGTTCTGCACTCCCTTGGGCTCAGAGTCAACCGCGCGTACTTCCCAGGGGCCGGATCGTGTTTGAGTTTTTCGGAGAGGAAATCGTTGGGGGGTCGGTGATGGTCAAACGGCCGAAGAAGGGGCCGTATTAGTGAACCAGGAAGGGGTCATGATTGCGGGGAGAGGGAATCGTTTTTGACGAGTTTTCAGCGAAAGCTTCAGGAAAAGGCGTAAATAGGCGATATTGGAACCTTCTTTAGATAGATATATAGACTTCTTCGGATTTGTCACCCCCCCCCCCGCCTTCCTGACGGCCATTTGAAGGAGAAGAAGGCGGGCGGATATGGATATGTCGACTTGTCCCAGAATCAAATCCCATAGAAATAGCCAGCGGCCGTGTTGATGAGGTTGGGATAGGAGGTGAGCAGGTGGGTCATATGAGGGTGGAGGTGGGGGAGTCGTTTCGAGACCCTCCTCAAGGAAGAGGTTCGTCTCATTTCTAGAATGTGGACAACGGTCGATTGACCGTGCCTCGGACTCGATTAGCTGCCGCTTGATGGTTAGAAGCGCTGTATCGCTGAGATCCACATTTGCGGTCCGTACGAGGAGGTCCGAGAGAAGGGTGTCCCTCAAAAGGGAAACCCTAAGCATCTCGTGGTTACCGCTTCAGTGGAGCAAAAGGCTTACTCACTTGAAAATTTTAACATTGTCATGGTTTTCATATACAAACAGGTATGTCAAAGGTCCCGAGCTCTAGTCGATTGCGTGGACCCATCACGATGGGATTGGCTAGCGCTTACAGTTCATTTTTAGATTCTATTTATATTCAGGTACACATTGCTTCGAATGGACCAAGGAGTTGTTCGATTTCCTGCTCCAAATCCTTGTCCGGAAATCATTTCCATATATGAAAACAAAGAGGAATTAATGAAGTGAGTGCAACTAGTGGCTTCAACGTGAATTGCCAATATCCCGTAACAAATTGGGCTACACTCATATTCTACGGAAGTGCATCACACGGTCAGTAGCATCCTAAAGAACTTTTTTGGCTGTGCATTAATCGTGAACTCCCTCGATATGCATTATTTGGTGCCACATGGGTGGTGTCACGCTTTGTTTAGCCTATGTAAAAAGTTGAAAGAAAGAATCTATCGGTGCATAACGGATTGCTCCCTCAAAGCTAACTGGCAGTAACTGTTGGAGCCATCGGAGTTCGTCCCGCCAAAGTTTTTCTCTATCATAATTGATAAGATAATGTCTGTATCGATTAATTACTTGGACTGTTTCGTGCAGTGATTGCAATGAATAAAATATAATAACAAGTTTACGTAGGTACGTGGAGGCGAAGGAGCTCGAAATCGAATTTCTCGGTTTTCTCAGCAACAACAAATTTTCGGAGGCGTACGAATGTGCGTTCAAAGCCCGTGAACTACTGACATCATTATCTGAAGAGAGGTAATTCTTCATAGGTTGTTTGGTGGCAACTGGAGCGAACCGTAGCTACCATCGATCCATTGTAAGTCGGTGTGACTGTGATTCAACGGAGAATTTAATGAATTCACTTGATTTATAAATCAAAGCACTGTATACGGCAGAATTGTATACTCCCAACCGTACAGAACTTCTTTTTTCTCTTCTGATTTGAAGCTCTTGCAGGCGGTTGAAAGCTGCGAGTCTGCCGGTTTCTCTTCGACGATTTACTGACTTCTCAGTTCTAAAGAGATGTGTAGCACATGGAGCTGGAGTGTTAGAACGACAAAAGAAATATGCCATAGCAATCAGCTGGCAAAGGTTCCTACTCAAACTGCTTGTGAGTAACTCAATTTCAGTTTTCTTTCTAGTAAGTATGATGCTCGGCTCTGGTGCGTCCCCATCTCTCTCAGTGTAATTCGATAATAGTGGTATCCACGACAAGGTGGAAGGTCAAGAAGTGGAACTACCTAGTGGAGAAGGCACCCACTAAGGGTAGCGATCACACGCAAACTTGTAGCGAAGATATGCCGCTGGGATCCATTTATACTCCCCGCGCGCTACAGCACGTAGCCTCCTCTCCTGTCTGGCCCTTAGTGTTCAGCAGACAGGCGTTTTGCGTTGAGACAGCACAGGTGAAAGTCGTATAATGGCGGGAATCAACGGCACGGAAGCGACTTCATTTTTCGGGTCGAGCTTTCTCATGTTTATCTTCATCCCTACACGCGACGTTTCTCCTCTTATTCTGATAGCGCCCTTTCTCGTAAATC